AAGACAAATGATAGCGTTCTAAAGAGAAGCAAAGAATCAAGGTCAGTAAACAGAATGTTGACTAGAGACAGAAAAAACAGCAAGGCTACCTATCTTAGGGAGGAGGACTATTTTGAACCATGGATTCGGTTTTTTTAAAATCATTTTATTGGGGGCTCATACAACTCTCATCACAATCCACACATCTATCCATTGTGTCAAGCACATTTGTACATTTGCTGCCATCATCATTCTGAAAACATTTGCTTTCTACTTGAACTTTTGGTATCAGCTCACTTTCCCCTCTCCCTCCCCACCCCACCTCCCTCATGAAACCCTTGATCATTTATAAATTATTATTATTTTGTCATATCTTACACTGACCAACATCTCCCTTCACACATTTTTCTGTTGTCCGTCCCCCAGGGAGGGAGTTATATGTAGATCCTTGTAATCAGTTCCCCTTTTCTACCCCACCTTCCCTCCACCCTGCCAGTATGGCCACTCTCACCACTGGTCCTGAAGGGTCCATCTGTCCTGGATTCCTTGTGCTTCCAGTTCCTATCTGTACCAGTATACATCCTCCGGTCTGGCCAGATATGTAAGGTAGAATTGGGATCATGATCGTGGGGGGAGGTAGCATTAGAGAACTAGAGGAAAGTTGTATGTTTCATCGTTGCTACACTGCACCTACTGGCTCGTCTCCTCCCCGTGACCCTTCTGTAAGGGGATGTTCAGTTGCCTATAAATGGGCTTTAGGGCCCCAATCTGCACTCCCCCTCATTCACAATGATAGGACTTTTTGTTCTTTGATGCCTGAAACCTGATCCTATCAACACCTTGTGATCACACAGGCTGCTGTGCTTCTTTCTTCCATGTAGGCTTTGTTGCTTGTGAGCTAGATGGTCGCTTGTTTATCTTCAAGCCTTTAAGACCCCAGATGCTGTATCTTTTGATAGGCGGGCACCATCAGCTTTCTTCTCCGCATTTGCTTATGCATCTGCTTTGTCTTCAGCGTTCACGTTGGGAAGGTGAGCATCATGGAATGCCAGTTTAATAGAACAAAGTGTTCTTGCATTGAGGGAGTACTTGAGTGGAGGTCCAATGTCCATCAGCTACCTTAATACTAAACCTATATATATATGCACATAGATCTATTTCCCCATCATCATAAATACATATACATATGTACACACCTGTATTTAGACCTCTATAAACGTCCTTTGCCTCCTAGCTCTTTCCTCTATTTGCTTTTACTTTCCTCTTGCCCACTGTCTTGCTCAGCCTTCATTTGGGTTTCAGTATTTCCGCTCGGTTATACTACCCTTGATCAAGCCCTACCAGGCCTCTTATGCCCTCCTTGCCACAGATTTTGGATCACTTGTTGTTCCCTTGTCCCTGGTTTTGTTAACACCACTTCCTTTCTCCCACCTTCCCCTCTCTCATGGCCACCCCACCCCCAGAACCGTTGGTCCCGTTGTTTTCTCCTCCAGATTGTTTATCCTGCCTAACCTGAGACTCTTGTAGAGCCAGTAAAAATGGACGAGGATAAAGATCACATCTTTGTGATAACCAGTTTCTAAGGAGTCCCAGTGGCGATGTTGAACTGTTAACTTTAAGGTTGGCTGATGTTCAAACTCACCAGCCCAGGCATCCTCAAACTACAGCCCGCGGGCCACATGCAGCCCGCCAAAGACATTTATCCGGCCCGCTGGGTGTTTTTGCCCCGTTTTGTTTTTTACTTCAAAATAAGATGTGCAGTGTGCATAGGAATTTGTTCATAGTTTTTTTTTAAAACTATAGTCCGGTCCTCCAATGGGTCTGAGGGACAGTGAACTGGCCCCCTGTTTTAAAAGTTTGAGGATCCCTGCGCCAGCCACTACAAGGGAGAAAGATGAGGCTAAATGCTCCCTTGAACATTTACAGCCATGGAAGCTGGAAGCTGGAATCATTTTGATAGCTGTGGGCCTGGGCTTGGTACTGGTTCTCATGGAACTTAACATTAGCTTCAAGGGTGAATGTGGGAACGGAACACAGCAGAGCAGGATCAGTCATGTCTGTGACTGCCACCAATTGGCAGTAAGCATTGTAGTGTTACTCAACAGGGGCTTCGGTATTTCCAAGAATCAACTGTATTCACACACACACAACCCTCAAACTCACGGCCATCAAATCAATTCCGACTGATAGCAACCCTTCAAGACAAGGTGGCACTGCTCTTGAGGGTTTTTGAGACGGTTTACCCTGTACAGGAGAGTCTCGTCTTTCTCCTGAGCGCAGCTGGAGGTTTCAAAGTGCTGACCTTGTGGTTAGCACCCCACTTCGTAACCACTGTGACACCAGGGCAGCGGATCAGCAGACCCAACACATGGATCTCGCCATTTAATACCTTCGTGTAAGAAGTACATGTACACAATGTTTGCAAACTGTCATTATAACTGATGTGCAAGACACTTGGTTTCTTTTGTCATCAAACACCATTTTTTATGCACTTAAAAACATGACGAGCATTCACTGACAGCCAAGGCTGCACCCCTGGGATCAGGAAGCCTTGCTGGGGGCCGCCCTTAGTGCCCAGTGCTGCTCGGTTACTAGTAGATACTAGACCAGGGATTATACACTGATGACCCAAGAGCCAAATCCAGCCCGCACTCGTGGTCTATTTAACACTGGTGGGCTTGAAAAAGAAAATGAGTTGCACACCTTTTGAAATCAGAAGCACTCATAGAAAAATGTAGCTGTCCGGCTGCTCGTGTAAAGCCTGGCACCTGCCCCTCTCAGAGGGTTGTCAGGGCTGAGTTGTTGGGAGGCCTGGTGTAAGGGAGCAGCTGGACTCTTGCCAGCCCTCTGAGATCGAAGGCTGCAATCACAGAAGATTTTGATCGACGGTAAAACCTATGGCAGCTAGACACTGTGTAAGACGGAAACCCGTCGGAGAAGTAACGTGTTCTCTTCCCTCCTCACACCGAGCAATAGAAACGCAGCACATGGACTGCCATGGTTTCTGCATTTCCAGAGGACCCCCTACTCCAGTAAGTCCCAGCCCGAAGGCACTCAGCTCCACCGTGCAGAAACCACACGAGACCTGGAACAAGAAGGCACTTCCGCGAGTTCCGGCTCTCAGGGGCGTCACTGTCTATCCATAATGTCTACTTGAAGGGGCCTGGTGGTGCAGTGGCTAGAGCGCTTAGCTGCTAACCAAAAGTCAGTGGTTCCAACCCAGCCGCCAGTGCTCAGGCAGGAGAGGCGGCAGTTTGCAGAGGATTTGTTTTGGTTTTTTGAGAGTAAATATTCCCGTTGCTGCTAAGTTGATATCAATTCATATCTTAAAGGAAGCAGACAGCCTCATCTTTCTCCTATGGAGTGGCTGACAGATTCCAATTGCCAGTCCTTTTTCCCTTTCCCCCCAAACCAAGGGCCTCACATTTCTTAATTTTGAATCTCTCAATGCAGATGCATAAAAACCAAAGATGATGCCAAATGTTTGCCAATACAAGTTCAACCACTCAGATGGTGGCAAAGCCTTACACTCGGCACGACAGAATGCTAGCGAACCGAGGTAAACACAGCGTGTGTGCCATCACACAGGGCACCCCTTACACACCCAGCTTGGCTCTTCTCCAAGGTCTTCTCTGAAGAGTTGCACCTCATCTTATTACCAGTTTTCATTTGAATCCAATGGGGGGAATGAGCCGATTCTGCTTAATTTCTTGGCCAGGAATCTCCTGATCTCGAAAAGTCTTAGGATCAAGAGAGGCAGGGAGCCACACTGGACAGAGGAGGCATTTCCTGACTGGCAGCTGTGTGTTCGAGCACTACGCCCCAGGGCTCCTGGGAAACTTGCGCAGGGCCTGCTTATTAGAGACGGGTCTTTGATCAGTTGCAGAGCCTGCGTTTGGGAGATTCCGGCTGAATTGAGTCTTTAAGGGTGAAGAATCAAGTTCTCACATGGCTCGGAGAAGAGGGAGGGGCAAACATGGCAAGATGCAATGAGTCTCTATGGGTTTATTGTACTGTAGTTGCCACCTGCCTGAAGGTTTTAAAATTCCTAAGCAAAATGCTTAGGAAAACGTTGAAAACAAGGTCTTTGGGGGACAGTGATTGTGACCACTAGCTTCTCTGGTTCCGTATGTGCAAAAGTCAGAGGCTCTCTGTCTGCAGAGAAGGCTGTCCCTGCTGGCGTGTTGACACGCCTGCCGTCCAGTGCCAGCCCGAGGAAGGAGATTAGCAGGGCACACAGAAAACATAAAGAATGGTTACAAGGCGGTTGGTTAGAAGCGGCTGGGTTAAGAATCAGAAAAAGAGTACGTCTCTGAAACTGGACTGCTAGAGTTAACATCCTGGCACTACCACTTCCTGACTGTGGTCTATGATAAACAATTCAATTTCTCTATGCTATAAAATAAAGCAATTCAGACAAGAATCAATGGATACCAATGGATGAGAGATGGCTAGGGACAAGATGTGATTCCCATCACATCAATTTTACTGTGAAAACATACACTTCAGTGCTCAGCACCTCGGCCAGCTACAAGCACTAAAGCAGCTACTATCTGCAGAGCTGTCTTTCACTGTATTACACAGGATGCTACGGTGCTATCAGGTCCAACTCCTAGCGGCCTGATGCACCGCAGACTGAAACCCAGCCTGGGCCTGGGCCGGCCTCACAATCGTCCTGTCAGAGCCACTGTATCAATCCAGCTCATGGAAGGTCTCCCTCTTCCTCGACCCTTCTACTTTTTCATGCATGATGTCCTTTTCCCGGGACTAGTCTCTCCTGACAGCGTGTTTACAAGACATGAGAGCAAGTCACTCCATCCTTGCCTCTAAAGAGTACTCTGGCTGTACTTCTTCCAAGACTGGTCTGTTTGCTCTTCAGGTGGTCCATGGTACCTCCAGTATTCTTCTCCGGCACCATAATTCAAATGAATCACTTCTTTGGCTTTCCTCATTCAATGGTCGAAGTTTACATGCACACGAGATGATTGAATATATCATGGTGACATCCTTGCTCTTCAGTTTAAAGAGGTCTTGGGCAGAAGATTTGCCCAATGTATTGTTCCCTGACTTCCTGACTGCTGCTTTCATGAGCACTGACTGTGGAATTAAGCAAGATGAAATCCTCGACAACCTCATATAGTACATCCTGAAAAATAGCGAGGGTCTATAGTAAACTCTACAACGCCACATCCCATATGGCAAACATTTTATATAATGAAGCAAGTACATACTTGTGAGAACATGATACACTACTGGATGGTGCACGGCCAACCAGAGACTCAGTCTGTGGTCACTGAGTCAGATGGACTCATTGGCCCCAATGGCAAAGAATCAGTCACGTATTTTATACACAACATGCTTCCATGCCCTCTCGCTCCTACTCTCCCTGTAGAGGGAAAAGGCAATCATAGTTACCTACATTCAAGGGTAGAACGACGGCCCGAGCTGTGATCAGCTACTTTGAATCCAGGCCACCTAACTGTAACCCAGCCCAGGAAGGGCTGAGCACAGCCAGAGGGAGTGCCAGGAAGGGAGAGCAGGACCGTGCAAAACACCAGCCCTGTGTCCAGAAAGCTGGTCTATCTCAGGCCAGAGAGTAAGGACTGGTGTCTTAGGGCCCAAATCCAGCCAACAGACAGGTTGGCTCTCATGGTGTTTTAAAGAGAAAACTAAATTAGGTGCTAACCTTTGGCAATTCAATTAACCTTAGGAAGAATTCATATGAAAATCTAGTTTTCTGGCTGGTCTTCAAAATAAATCTGGCAAAAAAATAATAGTAATAAATCTGGCAACCAGGAGAGCTCTTATATGGCAGGGGTCAAAGGGCATGGAGAATGGCCAACTGAACCGCACAAGTGCCTAAGAACAACCCACCTTCTCCCACGTGTTCAGCCAAATAACCAGAGGAGGGCCTTGACTGCCCTCAAACTAGCGCACAGGCGACTCTGAGCCTCTCGGTGAACAGCACGGCGCTCCCACTGCGAAGCCATTGCCGTCTCCTCTTCACCAACCGAGACTCAAGGGAGGGGGGCGGCATGTCCAGAGCAAAATGACCCAAGGGACTGGGCATCAGTCGTCAACGAGTTACCTAGGGGCTGGGGAGGTAGTGCCAGAGGACTAATTATTCCAATGCTGATTGAGGATCTGCTATGCGAGAGGGTATATAGGCTATTAACAAGTCCGTGGAAAGGTGGAATTAAAAGGTAATGTAATCTTTCCATGATCTTTTTGAAGCCCTCTTGTATAGGCTGAGCTATTTGAAAATGCTAATACTGCAGGGTTTTCCTGACCCACATGGCATTTCAAGTCACAGCTGTGGTGACTAGCCACCGTCTAGCTAGGCCCTGGCTCATAACAGATCCTAGGATTTTTCCACAAGTCCCCTCATATATCCTTGAAATATTTCATATATAAAGCCTAAGAAATTGTGTTGTGCCAAAAATGTTAACAGTGAATTTAATGAAGCATTTAATAGATAAAAGGACAAAACAAAGTTGTCGCCAACCGCTATGCAATCAACAGAGATAATGAAAACCCCAAGGGGACTGGGCCACAGGGCTGTGGTCAGGGCAGCGATTTCCTCCTGCCAGCCCAGGAGGCGACAGGGGCGGAGTGCAAAAGGGAGGCTGCAACCTGCAAGTCACCCAAATAGCCTTTGGCATGAAAGACAGTCAGGAAAATCATTAAGTCTCATGGAAATGGAAAAGACACAGAAAATTCAAACAGAGTCTGCGGGGGTGGGGGGGTGGGGGGGAAGTGAGTGGGTTTTTCTTGAAATCATAGAAATATCTAGAGAACACACCATATTAACAGGTCCTAGGAAATGGTGATCCATGAATAGCAGGATGACAATTATGAATGTGATTTTTTTACAACAAATGTCAGGTATCTTAATAAAGAAGGGCCACCTGTTGCCATGGAATTCAGAGATTCATGAATGTGACAAGCAGACCCCAAGCAGTGTGTCTTAAGGGAAAGACGGACGTCTGTAGTTTGTGCTCACCGCTGACACTTGGGCTCACACCCTATCTAGCGGGAATTTCTTAGCAAAAAGCAAAGCCTCCAGGCAGTCAAGCTTCAGAGAACATGAATGAACCACATCCCTTTAAGTGGTCACTTAGCAACGTGCTGCGAGGATTAGGATGCACCGACCCTTGGGAAGGAAGGAGGATTCAAATCCCAGAAGCAGGTGTTCACGGTCCTCTGAGCTCCTGGCTTGTCAAGGGCAATGACAGATCTTAAAGTCGTTCCAAAGTCCAGCGGATCTCACGCCAAAAGAACACTGAGGAAGGCGCAGCTTGAGTGCCTACTCTAGGCCAAAGGGGCCGTGGTGGAGCACCGGGTAGGCGCTCAGCTGCTAACTGACAGGCCGGCAGTTAGAACCCACCTAGCTGCTCCACCGGAGAACCGGCTTCCTCAGCCGTGGCAGCCTGGAAACCCTATGGAGGACGTCTACTCTGTCCCACTTTTAAATAATGGTGACGGTTTCCAGCCTGTCTCACACTAAAGTAAGGCTTAACAAGAACGAGACACACTGTTCCAGCTCACCAGCAAATTCAGCTTAAAGACACTTAGGAACAGATGCCATTCGTAACCCCAGGGCTGCAGAGATGATGGGATGCTACTCATCCATGAAAAGAGAAGCACTGACACAGCTACGACAGGGATCGGCCTTGAAACGCCTATCGTTTGGCCAAGACATCACAGACGAAGAGTCGCTTATTGTGTGATTCCATTTACGTGGTCTACGCAGAGAGGTTAACCCTTCAGACAGAAATTAGATTCGTGGTTGCCAGGGACCAGGGAGCCGTCAGTTTCTGTTTAGGGTGAAGAAAAACTTGGTGTGGGCTGCACAGCCCTGCAAGTATACTAAACACAGAGTGAGTTGTACACTTTGCAACATTTAAAATGGCAACTTTTGTTATTATATTTTACCACAATTTAAAAAAAGAATACATACACCCATACCTTGGGGAGGGGGGAAATCAGAGGAAAAACATACGGAAAATAATTTAAGAACTGATAAATAATCCTTTAGGTAAAACAAAGGACGCCCTGTTGGTGTAGTGGTTATGCACTGGGCTGTGAATCAAAGCCACCAGCACCTCCAAGGGAGAAAGATGAGGCTTTCTACTCCCATAAAGAGTTGATTCTCAGAAACCCATGGGGCAGTTAGCTCTACCCTGTCCTACAGGGTCAATACGAGTCAGACTGACTTGACGGCAGTGAAAAACATAACAAAGCAAGAGAGTCTTCTGTCAGGACCCTTTTCTTAGAAGCCCTGGTGATGTGGAGGTTATACATTGAGCAGCCATCCACATGGTCAGCAGTTCGAAACCACCAACAGCTCCTCGGGAGAAAGACTGGGCTTTCTGCTCCCATAAACAGTATCAGAAACCAACAGGGGCCAGGCCAGAGAGAATGAACAGGAGTTTATTCTGCGCTTCGTGGGCTCCAGCAAGGAGTCAGTGATGTTGTGCTGCCCGAGGGGGGTGTCCCTACGAGTCCTCATCGACTTGATGGCAATGCGTTTTCTCATCTATATGTCATATCTGATTCTGTAAGGCAAGGTTGTCAGGACCATGCCAAGACCTGCCCTCTGGGGAGGTGGTACCTACCTCCAATGACTCGGATAGTGTTGTCCTTGGTCAGAATAGCCTCAGCGTGGAACACCAAAACTGGGATTCTCCTGCAGCCTCCAGTCCACATGATACACGGATGATCCCTACAACCAGAAAGGGAAGCTTCATTATTTTACAGGTCAAACACTGTATGACCGGATTTTCCACAAATAACACATACATACTGGAGGATCAAGAGCTCATGAAGGCAATGACTGGTTTCTTTCTTTCCAGAAGCCAGAAAAGTGATGAAAGTCAAAGACACATGGAAAACACTAGTCCAGCGGGCTAATGGACCACGTGAACATCAGTCTCCACAGCCTGAGACCAGAAAAATAGGTGCTACTATTACCAATTGCTCGGGAAGGGATCACAGTAGAGAGGGAGAAAAAGAATAGGACCCAAAATCACAAAAGAGACCAGGCTCACCGGCCAGATAGAAACTGGTGGAACCCCGACACTACGGCCTTCAGGTCTAGACAGGACCTCACCCCCACAGCTCAAATGTCAGCCTAACAATGGACTGGCCAGTCAGGGGGACGATGACATTAGTGAGCTAGGCACAGGCTGGGATAATCAACCATTTGAGCTCACGGGGCAGCACTTGCTCAAGGGATAAAGCTCAGAAGGATTGGGGGTGAAGTCGTGGAAGATGGACGGGCAGGGAGGCGGTGGGGAGCATGGTGCTGCAAAAGGATCTCGATGGGTTAGAGGAGGCAAAATGTGCATGAACTGTGGAATGGGAAACCAAAGATCTGATCCAGAAAACTTCACCCAATTCACCGTAAAACATTTGAAAACTGAAAAAACTAGACCTACATAACTGGGGCGGGAGGGTGATCAAAGAGGAAAACAACGCCTGGAGAAAACGATTTGTGGAATGATACACAATCCTTGCAAATTAAACAAAGAAGTTGATTTTTCTCATGGTCACGGTCCTTTCCCTGACTGTCTGTGCTATCAGTCTGCCAGACAAAATTGTCAGGGCCACGCCCAAACAGCAGACACCAAGCAGATCATGTGGCTTGCTACTTAGCTCCTTTTCTCCTTTCTTCTAGAATGAGATTCCCAAATGTCCTGTAGAAAAGTTCCTCTCCCATTCTTAGCCATGTGGTTTGTCTAAGGCAGCTGTTCTCAACCTGTGGGTCGCGACCCCTTTGGGGGTCAAACAACCCTTTCACAGGGGTCACCCGATTCATAACAGTAGCAAAATGACAGTGATGAAGTAGCAACGAAAATAACTTTATGGCTGGGGGTCATCACAACATGAGGACCTGTATGAAAGGGTCGTGGCATGAGGAAGGTTGAGAACCACTGGTCTAAGGTTTCCCCTAAGACAAGCAGCATCTCATAAAGCGGTGATGAGCTTGGGTTTTGGAGTCTGAGCGATTTGGGGCGCGGGAATCTCTCGTGATCACAGTTTAGTTTTCACATCTGTTGTAGGAAATTAGATAGAATGCCACCTACCCCATAGGGTTGCGGTGACTGTGAATGCCATTCTACAGACAGGATGCTTGACGTGGTGGTTGGCACTGTATAGACACTCAGCGGCTGGTGGATGACAGAGTGGCCCTCCCTCACCCATTATCCCACCCACCTCCAGCTCTAGCCTGCATTTCTCTTAACGTCTGTTCTTTCCCTCAGGTTTGCAACCGTGCGATATGACCAAGGAGCCAAGTACATTCGGAACCAGTTCATGCACCTGACCAACTACAGTGTGAATAAGAAGAGTGGGGACTATGTCAGGTAGGGGCCGCGTCTGGCCCCGGAGTCTTGGCTGTGGCTGTGGTAGAGGTGGAAAGCCAATGCTTTGCACGGGAGGAGGGCTTGACCGCTGTCTCCGGTAACTGATGGAAAGCTGTCCTAATCATTTCTCAGAGCTTTGAGGCCCAGCTCCATCTGCTTCTCCGCAGCTGGCCCAGTTACACTGTTGCCCGTCTCTGCCGGAATGGACCCTATAAGTTCTGTCCTGTCGAGGGGCTTCTATTACTAACTGAAGCCCCTCAAAGCCACCCCCTTGCCCTCGAGTCCACTCTGACCCATAGCGGCCTGAGTCGAGCTGCCCCGGAGGGTTTCCAGGCTGAAATTTCTCGGGGAGCAGACTACCACTTCTTTCTTGTGCGGAGCTGTCAGTGGATTTGAACTGTCGGCTAGGCGCTTTAGGCACGGTGCCACAGGGACCCTTATTTAACTTAGGGCTGGGAATGGAACAGGCATAGAGGGTGCCTTTTGACAAGTCAAAAAAAAGGAGGTCCTTTCAGCACTGGGCAACATTTTTGTCCCCTTTCGCTATTAGTTCCACTTCTAGGATCGTCGCTGTCAGCAGTAATGAAGGCTCTATGCACAGGGTCAGGGAGAATTGTTTAATCCTACACAGGGCTAGGTGGAAATAGCAGAAGCAACTCGACTCTTGCTTGACTCTGTATCTGTTGTTGTTGGCTACCACCAGGTCCATTATCAGCTCCCAGCAGCCACTTGGACAGGGACGGGTTTCCCAGGGCACACTCTTCACAGGAGCCCGCTCCTTCTGCCATGAAGCTCCAGGGCAGGCTTGAGACACACGAGCACGCTAGCAGCCAAGTGCGTGACTGCTGTGCTGTCAGAGCTCCTTATACTGGGGGCTTCAAAAAGTCCATGGAATAATTCCCTGATCTTTGAGCCCCATTTTCCCATGAACTTTCTGAAGCCACCCCCACCCCCGCCCAGATCTGAGCACCGCTGGTCTAGGGGGTGGGTTACTTTATACGTGAGAAGTGAGGTCAGTGACTGGTTCAAGGAGGATACACAACCCAACCAGAGCCAACAAAAATGAACAGAATCATCTGAGACCTCTAAGAAAGTGACACTTGTTCTCAGTGACAGTGACAGGACATGACCTCTTTCCCCTGAATGATATGAGGGTACCTGGTGGGGAACAGCCACAGCCCTTGAGTGACTCTGAGCAGAGAGGCTGGGCTGTAGGATGGAGAGAAATGAGCTCCTGGTGAGAAGCTCTGAGTTCCGGAGTCAAGCCTTGCCTAAATCCAAGAGTTAGTAAGTTCCCTCTTCTGTTTTGGTCCCTCGCATTATAAGGAATCCTAAATTAAATATGCACAGGGACGGAGGTACTCCCTTTAAGGACGTACAGGAATTGATGCATCTGAATTCGTGGTGCTGGCAAAGATCGTTGGTGGGATACTCCGCGGACGTCCAGAAGAACCGGCAGCTCTGCCTTGGAGGACGTACACCCAGAGTGCTCCTTAGGAGAGAGGGTGGTGAGGCTTTGGACATGTCAGTAGACTGTCCGTGAAAAAGAGGAACATTCTCAAGGAGATGGACTGACAGTAACGAGCTCATCACAGCAATCGATGACTGACTGTGAGGATGGGGCTGGACCTGCAGCCCTTCATGCCGTTTTATATGGACTCGCTGGTTTGGAGGCAACCAGATGGCATCTAACAACAATAATACCAAAAACAGATCGGAAGTACCTTTTCAGGTTGATTTGATGACCCACCCCAAGGTTCTGAGCCAGGAACCCTAAATCATACAAAATATCTCAATTAAAACTACCTATTAGAAAGAAAAGGACTGAAAAACCAACCCAGAGGGCAGAAAGGAACTTGACTTTATCCTCTGCCCACATCCTCAGGAAAACTGATGAATCTCAGAAGAGTAGGGATGTACCCACTGATTAGGGACCTGAGCATCTGGAGCCCCCTTAGGGCAGGGAGGTAAAAAGGTAAAGAAAAAACACGAACTGAGCCCTGCATACATGCCAGGAATGAACTTAGTGTCTCCACATCTCTCTGAATCCTCCACTCCGGGGCGGAAGGCATCGCAGAGAAGTAGCTTACTCCAGGCCACCCAGCTGATGCAGTGAGGGGAAGTGTGGGGAGGTGATCTGAGCCTCAGTGACAGTCACGTCAGTGGATGCCCGTATATGGGAACACCTTGAACTCAACCCTTCCGAAACATATACTCATCCACATAGCCAAGACTCACATTGCTCTGCAAACTCCTGCGCCGCACCCACGAACAGCCACCACAGCACAATGCCGCGGCCACGGCAAGTGATCTGCACTTGGAATGTGCAGGCTGCCAGGCTACCAATCTTAGAAGGCAGGCAGTATTTCCACCGAGGATGCGCTGCCAGCAGCTTTTCTGTGAGGAAAGCAATGTGGGCCCCCGTCCCGATTCATTTCCTGTCTTCTAAAAAGAGAACGTGGGCGCAGCGTACTGTTCTCACGTACTTGGGCCCTCCAGGGACCACTTGGGAGGAACGGTGTTTACAGAGTGCCCTTCTCAGCAGGAAGGACGTCTCGTGGTTTGCTGGTGGTTTAGCCTGACATCTATAAAAGGAGGGCTCTGAGCCAGATGATTTCGATGCTTACTTCCAGCTTCCGCTGCTCCACTATATTGCCGAGTCAGAGGGGAAAAAGCAGCCGCCCAAACTACAGAGGCTTGGATGGAAGTTTGGGAAGCATTCCGTTCCTTGTCCATGGAGCGCTTGTCAATGAGAGCCCGTGGGAGCAGGGAGGACTGCCCCACGGGAGAGACGCCTGACAGAAGGGAGGACGCAATGGGCAGGCGACACCTGAGCAGAGCTGATGCTCATTCCCCGAGGAAAGCCAGATCAGGGGCAAGAGAAGGCTTTCCACATACAACCTGTGCACAGGTACGCTGCTGTTGCCGGGAGCTGTGGAGTCTGCTCCTCTTTACAGAATGCCCATGTGAGTGCAGACCTGCTCCACCGGGCCATCCCGGCGACCATCTTTACGGGAGCATGTTGTCAGGCCTTACTCCCATGGAGCCGTTGTGTGTGTGTGTGTGTGTGTGTGTGTGTGTGTGTGCACAAACTGCCCACCTTTCCATTTGCAGGCGCACACCTTGCCACTGTGCCACTAGGGCTCCACGTGAACAGGAAGGAGAGGGTGCAGTCTTCATTCAGGAACCAAACACCCAAAGACCTAGCTCATGGCCACAGAGTCAATTCTGACTCACAGTTTCCAGAAAACTGAAGGCAGCAGCTATGAGCAATACGGTAAGCATTTTCCCACCAGGTGGCG